CAAATTCCATCACATTGAGCTCGTGCGCCTCCCTAGCTTGGGCCCACTTCTGCATCACCGTCTTATCCTCCTCCATCCACGCCAAATACTCCAACATTTCCTTGTCGCCCAGCTGCGTGACCCACGCGGGGCCCTTTTGCTCGTTCTTGATCTTGCGGGCGGCAAAGTGGTCTACAACGCGCCCGTTGAAGGTGTTGAACTGGTGAATGTACAACTTGAACTGTTCGGCGTACAGCGCCCACTGCGAGGGCGTCACCTGACTAGGGGTTGCCAGAGCAGCTGGTGGGCTGGGCGCCTTGGGTGGCGTGGGGAAGTTGATGTTCTTGGGCTTGATCTTTTCGCGCTCAAACGGCGGGAGTGTAGTTGACGCCCTTGATTCGAAAGGGAGGTTGGTTTTGAGGTCCGCCGAGAACGAACTTAGGCCTGTGCCGCTGGGGCTAACCAGTTTGTCGACGTCAAAGTTGCCAAAGATGGGGCGAAGGTCACTGTCCTCTGAGCCGGCGTTGGGAACTGGGATTGGTCGGTGAGTAGCATTGGCAGCGCTGCTGCTACGGCGAGAGCTAGTACCGCCATTGGAAGTCTTGACGCCGTTGTTGTTGAGGTTACCGGCGCGCCATTCTGGCTTGGACGGCTCCAAGTTGACATTGCGCGCGCTACCCCCGTTTAGGTTGATAATGGTGGGAATGCCATGAGCGGGAGTCGGAGGCGGCGCGGCGGGAGGAACAGCGTGTGCCGGCGTAGGTGGCGGGGGAGGCTCATCGATATCCATAGCCATAGGGCTAGGCGCTCCGCCATTGATGCCACTTTCATCGACACCAGCTGCCGAGTTCGACCTGCTCTTTCCCTCGCTGCTGCTTGTCTCCTCTTCATCCACCAAGCCAGCAGTGCCCGCAGTCATCTTGACCGGCCTCGGCTTACGGATGGGTCGCACATTTCGTGTAGGCGAAGTCGACGATTTCTTGGCTGGCGGGGGCGGAACAAAGGTATGCGGACCGAATTCCGCTTGCCATTGACCGGCGTCAAAGGCACTGGCTTTCTTACCTGCATCGTTTGTCTCGCTCGGCGGACGAGTTGCGCCGCTAACCGACTCGTTGGAAGAGGTATACGTCTTTTTGAGGGGCGATTGGCGGCCGCGGGGGACCGAGCGTGCTCGCTGCTTTGCGCGCAAAAAGGCGTCAGCTCCGGGAATGGTGGTCGGTCCACCGGCGTTGAATTGAAATCCTGCACCAACCTTTTCCTGGTCCACAAAGCTGGCGTTGATATTATGAACGCCACTGCGGGTAAAATCGGCCGACGCCTGCGGCTTCGGGGTATATCCATCGTCGTCGGGGACGGCGAAACTATGGGGGTATACGCTGTTAGTCGCTCGCTGCTTCTGGACCCTGTTGTGTGCGTTCGTCTTTCTGGGCGAGAGGGGGTCGTCGATCGGCTTGATATGCTGTCTCCGTGAATGCATCTTACGCCTTCCCAGGAGAAGCTGCAGCTGGTCATGCATGTCCTTTTCAAACGAAGACTTGTCCCCGGAGGTCGACTGATCTCCACTCGGAGTGTTCCTGCCATGAGACGCCCGGTTATTTGCCGTCTCTTCATGAGCTCTTCCGCGGTAACTTCCCGCGCCGGCACGACTAAACACATGCGGCGGTCGAATCTTGCTGGGTTGACCGAAAGAGGAGGTTTGTTGGAAGTATTCATCGGGTTTAAAGAAAGGAGATGGGGCGTACACTTTGGGGCCATCCTGCTGCGCCGATTCCGAGGTTGGGGCTTGAGCTGTGTAAGACCGTTAGCCACTACTGGTTCTCGAGGTCCAGATCTGGCTGACATACCGTTCGAGTTGCTCCTCATAGATGAGGTGGACGCACGTGGCGTAGGGTTGGCTTCTGTATTGGGCGCTGACCTGGGTTCAGCTTCCTGGGCATAATAACGCGCGCTGGCTCGCGGCTCAGCTTTCGAGGTTCCAGAGGATGTGGTTCCGCCGTTGGCCGCCTTCCCGAAGCTGTTGGACTCACCGACACTAGCGCTGCGTTGTCGCGACGAGCGCGGAGGGGGCGCCTCTTCCTCGGATTCCTGGGTAGGCCGGGATGGGTCTTTCATGGACTTTGCGCGGTTGACGTTGGCACCTTCAAACGGGTTGAACTTTTCGCCGATATGCGAGGCATAGGGGGTCCGTTGCCTGCTGTCCAAGTAGGTTTCGCTGAACTTTTCGCTCAAGGGGTCCACGGGGGTGGGACTCGATTGCGGCCGTGATTTCCTGATGTTAGCGGCGGTATCCTCAAACATGTTGGTGGTGGCCGTGTAGTGGGCGCTGGAAGTGTAGTTGTGCCTCGACACGGGTGGCTCGTCGCCGACTGGGGAATCCGGTGAATAGCCAGCCCGTCTGGTGGTACCAAAGGCAGCATCGGCACGACGTGCCTGCCCCGCGGTCCGTGGTGGTACGGGAGGCGGCTCCCTCCTGGCGCTTTCGGTCCGTTCGGTCCGTTCCGTTCGAGCTGACGCATAACCCGACGACTTGGGCGTTGACGAAGATGTCTGGCCTGACTTGGCGCTTGAGCGCATGGCGTCCCAAGCGCGCAGATTGTCGGCAGCAGAGGCCGTTTTTGGGGGAACCGGTCTGGAAGATGAGGAGGACGACGGTGTCGCCCAAGACGAATAGCGTGCGTGTGCCGACGGACCGGGGTCGGGACGAGACGGCATATGAGGGGTTCGTCGCGTGGGAGGGGCGCCATATCGGTCTGCCATTTCGGCCGAGACGTTGGAGTAGGGGTTTCCGCGGTGGCCAGAGGCAGTCGCGTACCTGCTGGCAGAAGCTGATCCTCGTTTCCGGTAGGCATCGTACTTGGCCTTCATGGACACGTCGGTGAGGACCTCATGTGCGGCTTGGATGTGGATGAAGCGATCCTTGGCCTCCTCCTCTTTTCCTGGGTTGCGATCGGGGTGGTATTTGAGGGCCAGCTTCTTGAACTGCTTCTTCACCTCGACGACATCGGCCGTGGAGGACAGTTCGAGGTCCGCATAGTAGTCGCGGTCGTAGTCCAGCTTTACTACCATGTTGACGGCGTTGTGATGTTGGGTAAAGGGACAGAAAAAGCTTGCATGCCCCCTCGGTAGTGTATATCGATGGTACCGTATATGTCGAAAGACTCGCTGTTCAGAGCGATGTAACGAGGAGAGATGATCCAAAACTGGATGGGAAGCGGGGGAACGTGGCAGTAGGTTGCGACGAACAAGGGTGGTTGCTAGGTATGGTCGGTTGGTTGGAATGTTTTGTTTGCTAGCGAGAGGCAATGAATGTCTGGGTGTTGGACAGACAGCACGGCAGGGAGAGAGAAGGAAGCAAAGGTGGTGAATGGGTACAGTAGGTAGGTCGCGTGAAGTGGTGTTGTCGGTTGTCGGGCACGAATGACAACAGTCGGGTGAGTGGGTGGGTGAAATCTCGGCGGGATCAACGAGCGAATGTGCGGTCGAGCTGGTTCGTTGTCTGGAGGAGGAGAAAGATGGCGGCTTGTTAGGCTGACTGGTTTGAAGATCAGGGCGGGCTGCGTCACTGACCAGGGCTTCCATGGATTGCTTGGATTGGCAGGATGCGGGGCAGGCAGGGCAGGGCAGGGGAGGCAGGGCATTAATATTTACATGGCAGGGCAGTGAAGCAGGCAAGTTCCCCTGTCTTTTTCCCGTCTGTTGAAGCGTGACGAATGCAGCTGTAGCGTAGTGGAAGGATTCCCTTGTTGACATACGCAAGGGCAAGGACAAGACGCGGCTGTTACTGTTGACCCGTATTGGTGTTTGGGACAACTTGGTGGTGACAGCCGAGTTGATGTTGTTGAAGAATAAACTTGGTTGCGATAAGCTTGTGATAAGCACGCGGGGCCTGAACCTCCAAGAAACCTCAACTCGGTAGTCATGTGTAGCTTGTTGAATACGGCAAGGAATTAAGACGGATACACTCTTGACTACCTCTACCTCTACCAGAGTTAGTAGGGCTGCAGTATTGTAACCCAGACCGCTTCTAAATCGTACCAACGTCTGTGAAGCTGTGTGCTTGACAGGCAACATGTTCCTGTCACAAACCTCCAGCTGGCGGTGGGAGCCAAGATAAAAGAGTGGGGCTTTCTACGGTAGGCCAATACATATAAATCAGGTAGCAAGTTGGGAGCTCGGACCAGTCTTCAATTGACCACAACTATAACCCACACTTGGGCCACTGTAGTCGGCATCTTCATCCCACGTCGGGTATTTCCCCAACCTTTCCAGGCTGAGTCCCCAGGGCCAAGCATTGACTCTATTCTCCTTTCTGGGTTGCCCCTAGAATCAGACCGAGACAGCAACCTCGGATGTCTACACGGACATGGCTTCCGATATTGACCGACCAACCTCTGCCTCTCTGTCCGAAGACAGTCCGGTCATGCCCCGGCCCGGCGGATGGCTCCATGATGCCGTATAGCCCGCATGGCCAAGGACACAAGGACGCAAAGCACGCGGAGACCAGGGGCTGGGACAGTGTTTTTTTCACATGTAAGCTGTCTGGTGGGTTACCCGCTAACAAAAAGTGCCGAGACCTGCAATACTGCTGAAGTTAGCAGCTACAGACAAGAGCAGATACTGTTTTCTTTGTCAGTCGAAGCCTTCAAGTTCTCAGAATGGTATGAACAAACACTTCGAGTTACACACTACACGCCTCTCATTGCCGTTAGTGACTGGATGAGATACGGACTGTGGCTCTGAATGTAGCCTGCTGCATGACTTGGCTGAACCCTTGCTAAGGAAGCACATGGCTACACAGTACCAACAATATGGACGCAACCATCACCTGCCACCAACCTCATTCTTACAACACCATTTTTATACTTATAAGCTCTTCCCTATCTCTCCTCCCGGAACATCTGTAGCGTCAAGTCCTTCACTTGTAGACAACACTCTGAATAAGAACTGCCAGGGCAGGCAAAAACACTTGCCCATCCTTCTGTCAATCCAGCTTCGACTCTCACGAATCTTATCCCAATGATCTTCGTCGTCGAGTTCTTCTCTCTACTTCTCAAGCAAATCTTTCCATCTACCAGACAAATTGACTGAGAGACACCCCATCTCTCGGCATGTTGTCAACCGGAGTGGACATCGAGGGGCGGCCCCCAACCATCGTCAAGACGGCAGCGGACGCCGAAAAGGTCGCTGGTTCTAGAACCGATATCGCTCATGATGAGGTCGCTTCCTTGTCCAGTGGCACCCTCGGCGACAATACCCATCGGAAGCTCAAGTCGCGCCATATCCAGCTGATCGGTGCGGTATATCCTGTTCTTCCTGTCCTATCCACTGACTAACTGACACGAATCACCAAAAACAGGCATTGGAGGCACCATCGGTACGGCCTTTTACGTCCAGATCGGCAAAGGTCTCCTCAACGGAGGGCCTGCCAGCTTGTTTCTGGCCTTCACCATCTGGTGTACCTTTATCCTGGCCATCACCATGTGCATGGCCGAAATGGTCACCTATCTGCCCATCTCTTCGCCCTTCATCCGCTTTGCTGGCCGCTACGTGGACGAGGCCTTTGGATTCGCTGCGGGCTGGAACTTTTTCATCTTCGAAGCGGCCATGGTGCCCTTCGAACTCACCGCTTGTAACCTGATCATTCACTACTGGAGCGACGCCGTACCTGTCAGCGGCATCATTGCCATCACGCTGGTCATCTACGGATTAGTCAACCTGTTGGCTGTGGAGTGGTATGGCGAAACCGAGTTCTGGGCTGCGCTGGGCAAGTTTCTGCTCATTGTGGGATTGCTCATTTTCACCTTTATCGTCATGGTGGGCGGTAATCCACTGGGAGATCGATTTGGGTTCAGATACTGGAAGGACCCCAGCGCTTTCACCGAGTTGTATTACACTGGCTCGCTTGGTCGCTGGCTGGGCTTCCTTCAGTGCTTGATTCAGGCAAGCTTTACCATTGCCGGACCGGATTACGTTGCCATGGTGTGTATCCCTTTATCCACATAATCAACCCAAACAAAACAAAACTGACACCCGCAGGCCGCCGGCGAAGCAGAAAACCCCCGCGTCGTCATGCCCCGCGCCTTCAACGCCGTCTTCTACCGTCTCACAGCGTTCTTCGTCCTCGGCTCTCTCGCCGTCGGTATTCTCGTCCCTTACAATGACGCCGAGATGGCCCTCGCCTTTTCCTCCGGTGCTCCCGGCGCCGCCGCCTCTCCCTACGTTGTCGCCATGAACCGGCTCCGCATCCGCGTCCTCCCCGACATTGTCAACGCCATGGTCCTCACCGCCGCCTTCTCCGCTGGCAACAGCTACGTTTACTGCGCCTCGCGCTCCCTCTATGGTCTGGCGCTCGAGGGTAAAGCCCCCAAGGCGCTGCTCAAGTGCACCCGATCCGGAGTGCCCATTTACTGTGTCATGATCGTGCTGTGCTTTGGCTTGTTGGCTTTTCTGCAGGTCAGCAACAGCGCGGCCGTGGTCCTTTCGTGGTTCATCAGCTTGATGACGGCCAGCCAGCTGATCAACTATAGCGTCACTTGCACTTCGTATTTGAGATGGTACGCGGCGCTCAAGGCGCAGGGGGTCAGTAGGGATAAGTTGCCGTACAAGGGGCTTTTCCAGCCCTATGCGGGGTGGTATGGGCTGTGCGGGTGCTTTGTCATGACGTTTGTGGGAGGGTATACGGTGTTTTTGCCGGGGCAGTGGAGCGTTCCTACGTTTTTCTTCTCGTGAGTTTATTCCACCTTGCTTTTGGTAGGTGATATCGCTGACAGTCTCAGGTACACCATGATTGGGGTTTGTCCTGTGCTCTTTGTGGTGTGGAAGATTGTGAAGAAGACGAAATTCCACAAGGCCGAGGAGATTGACTTGCACAAGAATCTGGACGAAGTGGAGGAGTATCAGGCAAATTATGTGCCAACCCCGTCTAGGTGAGTCAAACCCGAAGCTTACTAGAACTCGAAGACTGACGTTTTGATAGGAATCGGTTCGAATGGGTTTTGGACTGGCTGTTTGGTTAGTAAATACCAGGAGGCAGCTATCAGGTTCTTGCCTCTTCCTCTCAGGAAAGCTGAATTGCATTTTGCACAGGGCGCCTCGAGTCCGCATCTGTCCCATGGTGACTTGTTTGCTACTCCGTGGCTTCCCGAAAAGAATAAATAAGGGATTGTAGGGAATGGCAAGACCATGCGCACAGTGGGAGAAGAGGATTGTTTGGTTACTAAGATCAGGTAGATATCTCTGCGAGTACGACCGAGGAAGCGCGTCCCAAGTGTGGAAGGAAACTTGAACGTGATCAAATCTACCACCCCCATTCTCCTTACATTCCAAGCAGAACCTCATTCAGCAGTTGGTGTCTCCTAACTCCTCGGGCTTCCCTGACATTTCCGCTGGCCTGCAGTTTGTACAGACAAAACCGGCTGAACTACACTGCATGCAGCTTTCATGGCACATGCAGAACAAGAAACAATATAAATATCAGAGACGGGCCGCTTCCCCTCTGCCACACCCATCAACCCTTTCTTCGCACAAGATTATCGAGCATCCAAACGTGAGAGCTTCCTTGACGAGTTTCGTCTTCACTGGATCTAGCAACCTTTACACATTCACCCATCTAAAGTAACCGAGCGGCATTTCCCCCCGTCCTCAGAGAAACCAATCGCTGCCAAAAAAAAACGTGACGGATAGTCTGCCATTCTCTCTTCACTACAGATACCCAGCAAACAACGCGGTCCAACCACTCCGGTACCTCTAGCTTATGAGCTTTGTCCCGCCCGACCGTCTCGCTTCGTTCCTTCGGATATTTCCTTCGGACAACTCTACCACTCGCGTCAGACAGATCTCCAGGTAATCACCGATACCACGGACGCCGAACGCCCGACGCAGCTATGAACAACTCCGACACTTCTCCAGGGGCATCCACCCCACACACCTCTCCAAATTCCACTATAGCCATCCCTACAGGCTCCTCCTCCTCAAAGACAAACACAATCAGCATAGGTCCCAACCGTCGACATACACAACAAGACAGTAGCACAAGTCCCTACGACTCCGACATGGACCTTGCTGTCCACGGTCTACACATAGTCGACTCGTCCCATCTCTATCCCGGGTACAAGCCAAGACAAAGGAACGCTGCCCCCCACTACTTCCATCACGGATCAGCAGATAAGATGTCGTCAACAACAACAACACCATCCCCACCACGATCTCAATATCGACCTCCTCTTTCTTCGATGAACAATTCGTCACATTCAAATTCTTCCTCCCCCTCTGAGAAAGTCCCCAGGAAATGGGGGGTTAGGTCTTACCCGAGTTTGAAGCAACGGGTACGTGAGGAACGGGATGTACGGGATGTACGGAGATCCACAAAGGAGGGAAGAACGAAAGATGCTCGGCTTCAAATTGGGAGTGGGAGGGGATACAATCATGATGAAGATGATAGAGATATTGAGATGGTGGACATGGATGTATCGTCGGGTAGTGGGAGCCATAACTGGAAGGATGCACGTGAATTTGAGAGGGGATACGATGGGGATACCGAGATGGGGGATGTACCGCCGCCGCCACCGCCGCCGCCGTCGTCATCGCATGAGGTAAAGGGGGCAAAGGAGGCAAAGGGGGCAAGTTGTTCTGGAAGTAATGGAAGTAAGGGTGGTTGTCATGGGAGGAGGAGGGTGAGTGAAATGCCGGTGAAGTACGTGCAGACAGAGGGGGGGAATACAGACAAGAGTACTACCTCTACAGGTAGTAAAAAGAGGGCGAGATGCAGTGATCAAATGGATGAAGAAGAGGAAAAGGTAGAACATAAGCGGATGAGGAGCTCGTGTGAGTCTCGTCAGTGACGGGGAGATGAGTTGCTTGATTAAGGTATGGACAGATAGCCTGGGTATAAGTACTGTGGCTGAGAAAAGAGGTTGTGAGGTCCAACGAGCGAAAAGCATATCGAATGAGAGGAGATTTACCATGAACAAGTATGGTTGATACATCTCCTCGAAGATGGGGAGGTGACTGATGAGAACAGTACGACAAATCAGGCAGTGAACCAAGTGAATGAAAATCTGACTGCTTGTTCCTTCTATATAACAATCTTGGGGACAGATTCCGTAGGTAGGTAGGTAGGTATACAAGAAATGAACCCAAATGGTTCTCGGTATCTAGAGTGTAGTTTGTATAATGTACATTGCCATTTGCATCTCGTTTGGGTAAAACTTACAACAACACTGCCCTGTCCGTCTTGGATCTTGGTAGTGTACAGTTCTCTCCACTTCTCTCGCCGTCGTCATGATATATGCCGCCGCCGCCGCCGCCCTCCCAAAACAGAGGCCGCCCAAATCCATTTGAGGTAAACCGATCGATGTGTCGGAGATGTGTCTAGACGTCTAGACGTCTGATTATTTGGCGAGCCCGACTGCTGATAGGTGATTACCCCTGCAGTCCGTTCTCCTCCACCCACCAACGCCGAAACGGGATGATGTTCGGAGCGAAAGACTGCTTTATTCCTTCTTGGTATCGTCCTTCTTTTCGCCATCCTCCTTCTTGGCCTCTTCCGATCCATCCTTTTGCTGATGAGCAGGGTTGGTCAAGTTATGCCACAGCGATTTGAGGAAACCTTCATTCTTGTGGTCCTCAGCAGTGTTATCGGTAGAAGAAGTCCCAGATCTGTTAGACGTGCGTCGAAAAGTTAGCTGGCCATTACCATTGCCAAACGAACCGCAAGACTATCTTATCCAAGAATAGTTGTAATCCAAAGGGGGCCGGGGTGTCTCACGTCGACGACGTCCTGTGAATGTCCATAACGCGCTTGGCCGTCTTGTCGCCCATCTCGTCCGCTAGCATCTCGATGATTGTGCGCTGGTTGGGGCTCAGATACTTGGGCATGTTGACGCGGAACTCGACGCGCAGGTCGCCCTTGGCTCCGCGACGGCCCTTGAGCTTGGGCATGCCCTTGCCCGCCATGGTCATCTTGTCGCCCGTGTTGGTGCCAGTGGCGACACGGACCTTGGCGTCGCCCTCGAGCGTGGGGATGGTGACTTCGCCGCCGAGGATGGCTGTGGTGAGCGGTATCGTTGCCGTGTAGAGGATGTCGGAGCCGTGACGCTGGAACTTGGGGTCGGGCGCAACCCGGACGTGGACGTACAGATCGCCCTGGGTGCCTTGGGCGTTGGGGTTCGACTGTCTGCCTAATGGGGGCGCGTCGCCCTCGCCGCTGATGCGTAGCTTCATGCCGTCCTCGATACCGCCGGGGATATCCACCACCAAGGTCTTGCGCTCCCTCACCACACCGTCGCCCGAGCAGGTCGAGCACTCGGAACCCTTGGGCGTCACCGTGCCGCTGCCGTTGCAGGCGTTGCAGACGGTGCCCATCTGGAAACCGCCCATGACCGTGACGACCTTTTGACCGGAACCGCCGCACGACTTGCACGTGGACCTTTGTGTGCCCTTCTTCAAACCGCTACCGCTACATGTGCCGCATTGCTTCAGAGGCAGGATCGTAATCGTCTTTTTGGTTCCCTTGGCCGCCTCCATGAACGACACCTGCACCTGCACCTCGATATCGTCACCCTCGAAAATCTCCGGCTGGAACGGACCCCGACCGCCGCCACCGCCAAAGGGACCACGGCCACCGCCGGTAAATGCTGAGAAGAGGTCATCGAGGTTGATGTTGGCGCCGAATCCGCCGCGTCCGCCGAAGCCGCTAAAGGGGTGCCCGCCGCCAAACGGTTCACCACCAGGGCCAGTGTGGCCGCCTGCTTCGAAGCCAGCAGCGCCGAACTGGTCGAACTGCTTCCTCTTCTCGGGATCAGATAGGATTTCGTAGGCGGACTGGATCTCGGCAAACTTGTCCTTGGCGTTGGGGTCCTTGTTCGTATCGGGGTGGTACTTCTTGGCTAGGCCGTAGTAGGCCTTTTTGATATCGGATTGCGAGGCGCTCCGGTCAACACCCAGTACGCCGTAGGGGTCGCGAGGTGTAGCAAGCAGGCGGTTGGTGGTGTGGAAGGTCTAGTGATTAAACAGGAGCTGGTCAGCATGTGGATGAATCGAAGTCACGGAGCCAAAGTGAACAAAGACGTCATCAGGACCTACCCTTGGCTTCGAGACAGGCCTTGTTGTCGAAGTGGTGGGTGTGATTGAGCGGCTGGTGCGAGGCCTAGCAACTACAGTAAAGCCAGCAGCAGAAGCCTTTCTTCCGGCACAGGCTCTAAACCTCTGACGACGACATATTTGCGCGGGAGAGAAGTGACGAGCCGGGAGGGCTGCCTTGGGAAGAACGGACGAGTTCATCTTGATCTAGGTAGCTATGGATAGGTAGAGAGGGTTCGGGTTTCGTCGGTAGATGGTGCGGGCCAGTGAGTAGCCAACAGGTTATTTACCGCGACATTAAACAAAGGCGTGTGTGAGAGTGTACAGAACAACAGCCTGAACCGAACACCCGTGTGTGTGTGTTTGGATGGAGAGAATAAAGTGAGGGTCAAGGAAGTTACGAAAGAAGGTCGGATCGTGACCAGGAAACCATGCAGTCAACTTTTTGGCTGCCGGCCGATTCGCCGAATCACAGCCGCCATTGGGCTGTTGGTGCTCGGTCTTGGCATTCAGAGCACTGGAGCTGCTGAAAAGTGGAGAATCCGGGAACCTCGCTGGTCTTCAAAGTGTCTAGAAATCACCACCGCCTTCTTTCTGCCCCACCACACCCATTCGTCGCTGGCCGATGGTGGTTGGGGGTCACCACTATAATCAGTTCCTACATAATTCCCCGTTGTATGAAGCTTCCCGGTTTCCAGCATGAGTCCATTGTGCCGAGTCGAGGGGGAAAAAAAGAAAAAGAACCGAGGATGTCCGAATAGCTCCAATGCAGTCGGGGTCTCCAGGTCTGAGGCGCAGATCAACAAGGCGGGGTCCTCTGGTGTGTGTATAACTGATAAGATAAGGAAAGCCCACTGTAACTCCATCACCACAGTGACGACACACCCTCGATTTGTTTTCTTTCTGCATGTCATCATCACCACCACCAGGCTATGGTAGGCTGTTTGCGCCCAACCACATCTTTGCGCCCTCATTAATTCGCGACAACACGCGCGATAGCCAAACCAAGCCTGCTCACCTGTCTGGTAGCATGTAAAAAGTGTTGCTTCTTTGACCTGTTGTTTTGGCCTTGTTGTCGCAACGAAGCCACAAAGGTTCCCAGCCGGCCCATCGCTCACCATTGTCGACCGACCGCGTGCTCGCGACTCCATCATCCGGTTCTGTCCCACCTGATTTGGCTTTCGATTTCCCGCGTAGCGCTACCAGAAACTCCGAGACACCAACACCATGAACAACCAACAATCACTCGTCGACTACCTAGTCCAACACGAGCCCAGCTTCAGGAAGTGCGTTTTGCCCATTCGGCTGATGCCACCTCGCTCCATGTCAGCTAACCCTCCCTTCACAGAGCCCGTCTCCCAGCCCTATACTCCGATTTCACTACCCTCCGCACTCTCAACCCCGATGGCTACCAGGCCAACATCTCCGCCTGGCGTTCTGCCCTCGCCCACCTCACCCGCTCCGGCTTGGCCCCCGCCCCAAAAGGTTCAACGCCGAACCTCCTCGTCCTCAACTCTGATGAATCCCTCCTGCGCGCTCTCGAGTCCAAAAAGTACGGCCGGCCGTTAGCCTTGGGCACCGTGATTAGGGAAGCACTGGCTGCCAAGGACCTTATACCGCTGCATGACTTCCTCACATCCCCAACGAGCATATACTACCAGCCATGGCTACCATCACCGTGGGCTGTAGCTGGCGGTGTGGCGGGCTGGGCCTTGAAACAACTAGGTGTAGCAGATTGGCTGAGGGGGAACGGGCTACCAAAGGGACAGTACGTGGTGATCGCCAACGTCCAAGAAGCCGGCAAGCAGTTCGCCGCAACCACCGCATCCGCCCTAACAGACAGCCGCTTCGAACGCACCTGGTCCAAAGCCCACTTTCTGCATACGTACAATGAGCAGGTCAAGCTGGAGCAAGGCAGCGAGGGCAAACTCCTCAGCGAAACCGATCTCGACGTATTACTCGTCTTTCTCTCGCGCGACAAGGACCTCATCCTCTACGACGGCTCCACCTTTAAGATCAAGACTCCCTCTGATGAGCAACAAAGCATAACGCCCGAAGACACAACAGTCGCTTCCATCAAGGAACTCATCTCCTCCCTAACGCACCAAACCCACGCCCTAGCGGGCCGCATCTCGGAACTCGACAAGACCGCCCGCCAAGCCGTGCAAGCCAAGAACCGAATCGCAGCCTTGGCAGCCTTGAAACAAAAGAAACTCGCCGAGCAGAGTCTCGAGGGCCGCTACGCAAGTTTAACGCAATTAGAAGCTGTGGCGTCCCAGATCCAACAAGCCAGCGACAGCGTAGCCATGATGAAAATTATGGAAACCTCTTCGCGCGTGCTCGAGTCGCTCAACGAGCAAGTCGGTGGCGTCGATAGAGTCGAGAACCTCACTTCCAAACTCAGAGAGCAGATGGCCGAGGTGGATGAGGTTAATACCATTCTGGCTGAAGCGGGCACGACTGCTGCTGGTGGCGTGGTGGATGAGGAGGAGATTGATGAGGAACTGGAGGAGATGTTGGCGGAGCAGGAGAAGGAGAAGCAAGCCAAGGAGGAGAAGGAGGAGGAAGAGAGGGAGAGGGACAGGGAGAGGGAACGAGAACAAGAGAGGGAGGCGGAGGAACTCAGGAGGAGATTGGAGGCGATTGGGGGTGTGCCGGTTGTGGAGCCGGGGACGGCGGGGAGCAGAAGAGAAAGGGAGATGGAGAGGTTGATGAAGGGTATGTCGATTGATGATGAGTGATGTCTTATGGGGAAAGGGATATAGATACCATGTTTTATTTTAGTAGGCAGTGCTAATTGTTTTGGTAGGTTGATTACGAGTATACCAACTTTGTTTTACCTCGGTCCCTTTTTGACTACGACGACGATTACGAGTTTCACGACTGTTACGATACGGCGTTAATTAATTCCAATCATGATGGATACTGCTTTTACGACTTTCAAAGGGCACATAGAATGCGACTGGGATGAGCGACCAAGGTTTCACGACCAGGACATGATTATGAAGTTATGACAGGGCGTTAGGGGTACTCACTCCATCGCGAGATGCGATAGCTAATGCGCTAGGTAACGGCAACACATTTTAATCCAGTTGATATACGGAAACGACTTAGCAATCAAGCCATCTTTACAGGTAACCAACCATCTATTGCATTCACACAAGACCGTGATATCTTTCCCATCCAGCCTATCAACACAACTCCAAACGCCAGCCAGCCAGGTCTCTCGCTCGCTCTAATCAAGATCCATCTCAAACCAAATCCCATGCTACACTTTTTGTACCCTTTTTTTTTTGTCATCCACTTAATCAAGACATTACTTAGAACTCCTCCACCGCGCAATTAGGATGCAACACATAGACAATGTTGCCCTCTGCCCTTGCCGAGGTACCTTCTCCCGCGGTACCTTCTTCGCCAACAATTCCTTGTCCGCGGATCGCCATGAGGATGTTGTCCTGTTTTGTTGTTTTATCTCATTAGCAGTCGCCCAATATGCAGGAAGAAAAGGGAGACAGAAACATACCTTGACCATCCTCTTCAAAACTTTGCCCACCAACCTCCTCTCCTCGTGATAATCCTCTTCCGTTGCCATCTCCTCCTCCTTCTGCTCCAGGTACCACTCCACCAGCTGCTCGCCTTCGATCCCTTCCCCTGAGCCTTGCGTCTCGTCTTCGGCCACCTTGGAGACGATCAGGTTCACAATGGAAATGTACTTGTCGTACGAAATCGTCTGCTTCTCGCGATGCGCTTGCGAGGGTGCCGCAGACGGCTGTCGGGCAGCTTCACCACCCATGTCGACGTCGCCGTCTCCGTCCATATCGGCCTCTGGCACGCGCGAAGCGGCGGCGGCGGCGGCTTGCAAGGCCTCGGGGGAGTCAGCAGGTGGTTCGGGGACGTCTTCCTCGTCGTCTACTTCGACGTCGTCGTGTTCGACGGAAATGATCGACTGTCTCAAGAGGTGGAACGCCTCATTTACAAAATCGGGCGTGATTTCCTCGACGCAGTTGGCCTTGGCAATGGCTTCGGACAGACGAATCATACTCTCCAGCTGTCTGACGGTGATTCGGTAGCTGTTCTTGCCGATGCCGCCCTGGGCGTCGTCGGCGCGCAGGTCCTTGTAGCGCTGCACGAGGACTTCCTTGGCTTCGTCGGTGAACTCGGGGCGGAAGGTGCGTGCGAAACGGATGTACCGCTGCAGTTGTTCGGTAGAGAACTCAGGCTCGATGGCTTGGTCCCGATTTTGGTGCAGGCCGACAATGTGTTCGGCCAAGTGGCGGTCGACCTGCTCGTTGCACTCGTCGAGAATGACGAAGAATAGATCGAAACGCGACATGATGGGCGCCGACATGTTGATGTTGGCGCGCAGGGTGGTCTTGCGGTTGTAGCGACCTCCGACGGGGTTGGCAGCTGCTAGAATCGAGGTTCTGGCATTAAGCGTAGCCTGAATACCGGCCTTGGCAATGGAAATGGTCTGCTGTTCCATGGCTTCGTGGATGGCGACCTGATCGGCAATATCCATCTTGTCGAACTCGTCGATGCAGCAGATGCCGTTGTCAGCGAGCATGAGGGCACCAGCTTCAATCGTGAATTCACCGGTTTCTTCGTCCTTGACCACGGCAGCCGTAAGACCAGCGGCGGAAGAGGCCTTGCCGGAGGTGTAGACTGCCCGGGGAGCAAAGTTGACGACGTACTTGAGGAATTGGGATTTGGACGTCGAGGGGTCGCCGACGATGCAGATGTTGATGTCGCCACGGAGTGCCATGCCTTCGGCGGTGGTTTTGGAGACACCAGACAAAAGCTGCAAGAGGATGCCCTTCTTGACGACTTCGTGGCCGTAGACCGTGGGTGCCAGAGACTGGACGAGGCGTGCGTAGATGTGGTCGCTGTGCACCATGGCACGGAGGTCTTCCATCTCGGCAGACGTGTAGGAGCTCAGCAGAGCTTCCTGGGCTTCCTTGATGGTCTCAGCTGTTTCGGCCGCCGCGCTGCTGTTGAGGGTACCAACAATGTCCATCAGAAGGGCATCACCAGAAGCACCGATTGCCGACACATCAGGCGTGACCATGCAAGCAAGAAACGCCAAACGGTAGGTAAGATCGCGTACACCCAGAGCCTTGAGACCAGAAACACCACTGCCACCGGCATCCGCACCCCGATCATCACGCACCGACACATTCCTCACACCCGGCAGACCCAATTGACTGACATCCGGCACCACGATCAGCGCACCCGTAAAGATACACTTCTCGCCAGCCTTGGCGCGATCCACCAGTTCGCCGCGCAAAATCACATCCATTGTCCTGGGCATGCTTCCCGTGGGAATCTCGCTACTGTTTTCCTGCACGCGCACCTTTTGCCAATCCACAAAGGTGCTCTGCCTGATGTCCAGCTGCCATGATGTGCGGTTCTGGCACGTCAAGTTGGGACACTGCGTCGGTTCGGTGTATCGGAACGTCTGCTCGACATTGGGAACGACGGCGTAGCAGGCCTGGCAGACAAAGGTGGCCAGAGCCAACTCGGGCCGGACCTCGGAGGTGCGTGTGACGGTGCCGCTAATGGCAAGAAGCTGGCCGACGTTGCGGGCGCGCATGGAGCGCACGCGCGAGACGAGGGGCAGGTTGTAGAAGGCAATGGCAAAGAGCTTGTCGGTTTGTTGGTTGGGGTTCTTGATGCCAAAGTCGGACTGGCTCGCGTTGGCGCCTCGTGTGCTGGCGGCTGTCGTGGAGTGGGCGCTGGATGCCGTGGGCTGGCGATGTTCGTTAAAGTATTGGGGTTCGTGAGCGGCGATTCGGCTATGGAGGGCGGCTGTGAGGAAGGGAAGGAAGCGGTAGTACGAGTTGGTAATGGCCTCGGCAAGGGTGCCGTCTTGCCATGAGGCGACGTGCTTGTAGTCGACGTAGAAGGTGGATAACGAGTAGGTCCTCATGCCGTGGATCTGGGCGACGTAGTACTTGTCTGTCGTGACTGCGCTCGAGGTTGGTTGGCCGGACGAGGTGGGTGTTTCGACGTAGCTGGCGCCGGTGTCAGCAAGTACACTAAGTAGTACATGTTTGGCTGGTTTCTTGGATATTCATACCCGTCAATGAAGGCCTCAAAGGCTCTCTGGACCATGACACCAATCCTATCCTGAACCCTGGGAATGTCGGCAATGTTCTGAGGCCTCGAGCGGACGGGGACCTGATCATCAGCGAACCCTTCCTCGCCCTCATCTTCGCTGGCCGCTCCGAGGCTTTCTGAGGGAGGACCTCGTGGGCGAGCTGAAGAGGAACTGGGATGACCATTCCGCGCCCTGGGAGTTGCTCCTCCTCGCGAAGCAATTCCGTCCGACATCATGAAGCCAGCATCGCTGGAGTGTGCCATTGGTGTTGCCATTGTGATCTGGTGTTGATGTGGTCCACCTGGGTATCAAGGAGAGTTGGTGGAGATTGGAGGTTGTCGAGGTCAAAAATCAAGTAGAGGTCAATGAAAGCCCAGGGGACCAAGGACTCGTCAGTGGATGGAGGGGAGACTGTGACGAGGGGAGGGGAACTGAGTCCTCCCTGTCAAGAAAACACGATAAAACACGCGCCAGAAAAGCTGAAGCGCGCCAAGACCAGGAAGCTGGCGCGCACAAGTGGGGCCATCTTTAATGGCTTCGCTAGTGGGATATAGACGGGCTAACTGCATATTACCCGCCTTGGACTCCAAGAATTCAACCTCTAGGTTGTATCGCTGAAAGCAATACACTTGCTGTAACGAAGCATCGCCATTCGACTCTGCCTTGTTCGTACGACGACCCAACTTGCCCTACGAAGGATTCAGCCTCCTGGTAGAAGTTGTCTATCATGATTCTAGTGATTCCAGGTCTTTCGTGCTGAAAAAGACCTTATGCTATCTTCTCACAATCATTTTCATCCATTTGAAAAAGTCCTCCAGCAAGATGCTCCTTCCTCCCAAACCGTTGCAAAATGGGTGATGCTCCTTCCATCCATTGAACAACTTCTTGCGTGTATCAACCAAGCACAATTTTCTCGAGCTGACGCCCTCTTCTGTCACTCTTCATCAAGTGCCACACAATTGTCGTCGCTCCCTCGGTTCCTCGAATGCAGTGTTCCCTCCCACATCAGCCAAACTGTCAATCGCTCTCGTCCAATTCCTCAGCCTTCGGTGACATCCATCAACCAGCATTGCCATGGCATTTTGCCATTAGAGCCGGCCAGCTGCCAGGCCAAGTACGTGATGGTCACCTATAACACCCAGATTATGTATGTCAGACAAGGTACAACACAAGAAGATGAGTAAGTGAGGTCGAACCAGTCAGAAGTGGTCCGACCATGCTCGGTCCCAAACTCCAACATCCCCGAGACCTACAGGCTGCAGTGTCACCACAGCTTCATCTGGGCTGATAGGCTTTAGCCGAGAGCATGCCACCCATTTACTACCCGGAGACAGGAAAGTCGCCCGGATCTGTCAGCGGCCAAGAAGACCATGTCCTTGCTTCGGCTTGCTTGACGTGATGACCTTCTGCAATCTGGTATCCGCCTTCCCCTCCCCCCGATCAGATCTCTGGGCTGAAACACCATGTGGGTGTGCAGCGTGGCAGCGAACCTGATCTATCTTTGGCATTACCCCCCTTCCTGGACGTCTCAGCTTCTTCTACCCTTCCACAAACCAACATCAACGTCAGGTCAGATAGTCTTTGACATCAGAATGACTTGACAAGCGAAACAAAGACACTCTCAGCTGACTCGGCCAAACAAAGCTTTGTGTCAGAGAAGATCGTACCTGGGCTCGCATCCAGTCAGCCAAAAGCCCAAGATGAACAGCAACACAGATTTCACTCAGCTATGGCATCGCCATCTGGCCAACCTCCGCCATGACTTCTCGGCTGGAGCTGTTGACAACGTTCGTGTACAAGCTTCGCCTTCGGAGACGGCAAGGAACGTGGATAGAAGAGGAGACAGTGAAGCTACGCCCAGGGGCGCTGATCATCATGATATCCAAGCGACGTCGCTTTCCGTTGGACTTGAATGGGATGGAGACATGGAGATGGTTATTGGTGCTTTGCAGGAGCTTGAGGTGTAAGTTCGGTCAACCTGACATCTGATCCCAAGATAAAACGGCTAACGGAGATCTGCAACAGTCAAAGCCCTATAACCGCCACCGAAGCCCTCAGCCCCGATTCACCGTGGTTCAGAGACCCTCGTCTCCGCCGTGATGCCGATGGTGATAGGGATATAGAGATTGAGACTGTGGCGTCGTCACCTCAAAATTCGAGCTGGTCGAGGACCGTAGCGCCTCCGAAAGGACAACGAGCCCGTTTATCTTTGCAACTGCAACCACCGAAAAGCCCGGTCAGCCTCTACACGTCTGCGCCTGCTGAGGGACTTGATACAAATGCTAGAGCACGGACAGACTGGTACAGAGATCATGCAACACTCCTCTCACATTCTCAGCAGTTATACGAGACTTACTCGGCTTATCCAGCATCACCAGCCTTCACCACCCCTCGACCTGAACCCGAGACCGAACCACCAGAACCAAAAACCAGGTTCAGCTCCACCTTCTCGCCCTCCCAGCGCAGTCGCTACGCACAGCTAGCCGAAGAAGTCAACGTCTTGATCCTCAGCTGGGCTACGACAACCACAACAATAACCGCCAAGCAACAAGGGCCAATCAAACTCAGTTCAAGTCGGCAAGGGATCAATACCTCCACAGATTCTGTCCGAAACTGCTTCAAACGACTCGGATATCGGGTTCAATGCCGACTGATTCCCGAGGACTATCCCACTGCGGCTGTGGAGACCATTCTGGCCAAGTTTCTCGCGGACTCTGACATGAGTCAGGAGAGGAAGAAGTTGCTAGTCATTTACTATGCTGGGGGAGCGGGCATGGTTGGAGGAAGGATGATGTTTGCGAATGCGATTGGCTCGAGTCATTTCTTTTGGGAGGACATTCGCGAGCCCATCATGTCGAGTGAGGGTGACGTCTTGCTCATCCTTGACTGTCATCACTCTATGAGGTCGAATGGGAGCACAAAAGCAGAAGATCAACTGATGGTCGACCCGGGCCTGGCATCTTCACCCTCCGTCAAGCAACTCTTGGGCACCTACGTTCCTGTTCCCTTGCCCCGAACAGAAACTCCCAACAACAGCTCGAATGGAGGCACATCACGAACAACGCAAATGACCCAAATCCTTTGCAGAATCCTGGACAGCGCCCACGCTAGAGGAGACGGCAAGATATCAGTGCAGAGGTTGTGCTCGTGCATGAAAAGTGAGTTGCGACAGGACGGAACGGAACTGGATCAAATGGTGTTTGTTACGCAGTTGGGGGGAAGACACTTGATGGATATCGAGTTGCCTGTGTTGTCTGCCGGCATCGATATCGGCGTTAGAGGTGGCAATGACGTCGGCGGCGGTGTATCGCGGGGTATGGGAGTCCTCCGAAGTTGATATCACCGGGGAAGCATTCAACTACACCTCAACTTGGGTAAGTTTAGTCCCATTCGAGAGTTTCTCCTATCCCTGGGGCAATCACACACAGGCAGCTAGCGTGTCTGCCTGATCATCTCTCCCTCCAATCGCTGACTTTGGATAGTCTTCCGTCTAGTATGGGTGTTGGTGATGGAGAAGCAATAACCTGGCCTAGTCTCCGGCACAGGTGTGATATATCCCTGAGAGCTGAAGACTAAAACTCCAATGACACCCAATCGCTTCCCCTTTTGGAGATTTTCGGCATTTGCTAGCGTGTGCTCCATATTCCTTATTCCCGAAGCGGTAAACCGATGGAACATACGACATGGAGATTTTCGAATTAGACCATGTCGATCGACTTCCGCCTCACCAAAGGACGTTCTCATCACTTCTTCGTCACACGTCTCCATCGTGGGAAGCGTGTTTTCAGCGTGGCATGGGAGCGCCTGCGTGGATCCTGCAAGGAGCACTGAGATTCCATTATGTTCGGTTTTCCATCAGGGAATGTGAACGTGCTACATTAGATCCCGAAGTGAACCCCAGCTACCCGCACGCTCAGGGTTTGTAATTGGCAACAATGACAGACATTGTCTTTGCAGGACTCCACTGGATTAAGGGGTCTTCAGCTGTCAAACTCGAAACCTCACCTTCTCCATCAACATCGCCGTCATAGCCAACGACACTACGGGCTTGTGTCCGAGCCCACGTGCCGAGGCTGCCGCGAATAGCGTCAAGGTGATGAGCCTCAAGACGTGCCTCATGGCCACCCTCGTTTCTTCTTTTGTGCGGGGCTAGCCGTTTCCACCATTGTGCGGCCGAAAGATGGACGATAAGGCATTGCATCTGTCACATTTGTTGATGCCTATGGGTGTATGGATTTGTCAAGCACTCTAACCTCACTCGCCCCCGCTTTTCCTGGATCAACCCGTCTTCAGCTTGGCGATGCTGGTCAGTCTCTGGCTTCAGTTACCATGTCCACCCATCTAGGATAATGCTCGGCACGAGGACATCGCGATGTAGATGGAGCGTTGTTCACATCCACTCGCTTCTGTAAAGTCGCAAATCAGAGCAGGCTGGGTTCTGGATTATCATGGTCGACATTGTGGACACCATCCAAGGGCTCAGCCTTTAGGCTCATCACAGACACACATGACACTAGTAGCTGTTGGGGCGTGATACTGTCAGCTTGCAGCTTGAAGGTCAAGGTTGTGATATGGAAAATTGAAAAGGAACAAGAGAATGACGAGACGTGTGCAAGGAAAAGATATAAGACCGCTGTCTTTCTCCCCTCAACAGCTTCAGGACACCATCATCAACCTCATCGTTCCCTTCTAGCAGCATTCCACATTCTGCAACTCATCATGGCCCCCTCTATTCAGGAGCTTTACCATGACTTCGTGGGCAATGATGTACCCAACGCGAAGCACAGAAGATCATCCTCATCCTTCGACCCCAACGACATCTCCATCAACGCTCGTCCATGTGACCTGGGTCGTGTTTCCGGCCTCATCGATGACATTGCCTCGTACAACTGGGGCGACATTGACTTTTCTCAAGACCGAAATGCCCGTATCTCCTTGCTGTCCAAGGCTCGATCTTTGATCGCGGCCCTTGAGACCCCAAGAGAGACTTTGCTGAGGCATATTGGTGCCGAGGTATGGCCACTACGTGTCCTAATTTAGTCAAAACACCACTAACCGACATTGCAGACCTCCAATTTCTACACCATCGTTATCGGCATCGAAACCAACCTCTTCCACGAAATGGCCAAGGACAACGGCTCTCCCAAAACCGCCACCCGTCTTGCCGAAGCCATCTCCTTCGACCCGGATCTCCTCCGGCGCATCCTCCGCCACCTGGCCTCCATGAACCACATTATCCAAACCGGCGAAGACGAGTACCGCCCCAACAATTTCTCCAAAGCCCTTACCACCTCACCCATTGCCGGCTCTTACCAGTTCTATCGGAACATTTGCCTTCCCTCCATGATCAACCTACACAAGTGGCTCAAGACCAAATCCTACCAATCCCCCACAACCACCATCGACAACCCCTTCACGTTCGGGCACCAGACTTCCCAGACCTTCTTTGAGGTGATTGGTTCAACTGCAAAGAATACCGAGCACTTTAACGATCACATGGTCGCCTACTGCCAGGGCCAACCAGCATGGTGCTCCAATAGCGTCTACCCAGCCGCCGACCGTCTTATCTCGGGCTTTGATGCCTCTCCCCAGCCAGACGGTTCTGACCCAGTGATGCTGGTAGACATTGGCGGTAACGTCGGCCACGATCTCCAGACTTTTGTTTCCCATTACCCTTCCCACCCAGGCCGGCTGGTGCTACAAGACCTCCCCTCCGTCATTGCTGTCGCTCCCCCGTCTCTCACTTCCCCTCTTCCCAACGGGAAGTACGTCCAGCTTCAAGAACACGACTTCTTCACACCCCAACCCGTCGTCGGTGCACGAGCGTACTACCTCCATCACATCATGCACGATTGGCCGGACGACAAGTGCGTTTCCATCTTGAGTCAGATCAAGAAGGCGATGAAGCCGGGGTATTCGCGGCTGTTGATTAACGAGCAGGTCATACCAGAGAAGAAGGCAAGCTGGGAGGCGACATATCTGGATTTGTACATGATGGTGCTGTTTGGGGCTAGGGAGCGGACGGAAAAGGAGTGGCTGCGGCTGTTGGAGGATGGATGTGGATTGAAGGTGTTGGGTATGTATGGACCGGGAGGAGGAGTGGAGGGGATCATTGAGTGTGAGGTTGCATTGGAGGAGTAGTTCATGAGGTATGAGGTATGAGGTATGATAAATGGCTGTTGGGGGAAAAGATGATCAAAATGCAGGGAGAAAGGATAGTGTTTTATCTCAAACCTGCGTATTAGTCTGGGAATCTGTTGGGGCTGCATTTGAATCAGTCCGTTTAGCTCAACTTTCTACAACCCAGTGGGAAACTCCTTCATGTTGTTATGGCCATCAACAAAGTCCCATTGCGCCTCTTCAAAGTGTCTCGGACAAGCTGAGAAGATATTTGGCACAGGCGAAAGGAAAAAAAAAGAACAGCAGTAAACCCAAACCCTTGATAGGGAGCGAAGACGGCAAAAAACGATCCACCCAGGGGTCGAACCTGGAACCTCCTGATTCGTAGTCAGACGCTCTGCCATTGAGCCAGCGGACCTTGAATTTGATGAATAAGCGATTCAAGCGATCAGTTTAAGTTTAGAGAATACAGAATGTTGAAAACTGTCTCCTGGAAAAAGAAAGAAAAACTTTTTTTACCCGGAAGATCCATGTTTTTCATTGTCCAGTTTGGCTCCACAGATCTCCAGGGCTGGCGGGTCCGTGTGGCGGGAACTGTGGAACTGTGGAGCAATAGTGGATATATGCGTCTTTTCCCCTGCTCCTTGGTCTGGAACATCCCGCGTGGAGAAAGAAAAAAAAATTCTGAGAGGACAGACGCCCCATGTTCACGAGGATATGTAAATGGAAGAATTAGACGCAAACCATATCAAATCACCTCAATACGGTCCGCTGGCTCAATGGCAGAGCGTCTGACTACGAATCAGGAGGTTCCAGGTTCGACCCCTGGGTGGATCGAGGATTGTCAGGTGCTAGCACCCGTAATTTTTTATTTCTTATTTTGCTTTTTGGCATTGGTTTGAGACTATCATAGGACTTCCAGTTGGCGAGGACACTCCTTCATTTTTCCACCACACTACTTTGAGATTGTATCCGGACATTTTCGTCACTTTTTTAATGTGAAAAGCTTCCATTTTACAATCCATTAGTTTCCTAGCTATAAATGTGACTACACTCTTTCAACATTAAACCCACCATCACTCATTCCCACAAAAGAACCTCAAAGGACCAAAGCAACCAAACCAGCCACTAACCCAAAGATTCCCCTACTGGCACCGACAACCACCGCCCCATTAGCAGCAGGCGGCGCACTCGAAGCAGTCGGCATTTCACTTTCACTCGTCACCGTATAAGTCAATGTTCCCGTACTAGTCACCACCGTCCCCGTTACGCCTCCCACCGCCCCAGTAGTAGTATCACCACTCCCAGTCGTTGTATATGTAGCAGTAGCAGCAGAAGGTGTCGACGCGGCAGGTGTCGACGCAGTAGGTGGAGGCGGTGGCGGCGGAGGAGGAGGAGGAGCACCTTGTCCATAACCATCACTCCCCTGTGGTCCTGTCGCCGTCCCAGTACCGGTAGAAGAAGAGGAATCACCACCATACCAAGCGGCATAATCCGGATTTTTGAGCAGTTCGCCGCCGAACGGCTTAGAGGGGTCAGGAGGGTTCATTTTGTCAAAGGGGAAATCGCCGTTGGGCTGGGCGGCGGCTTCGCGGGTTGCTTGGTCTTTGTATTGGGCGAGTTGGTCGGGAGAACCGTTGACAATGCCGATCATGCCCTTTGAACAGTGGGCGGGGGTGGAGCAGTAGAAGGGAAAGGGGGCTGTGGAGCCGATGGTTACGCGGAAGATTGAGGGCTGTGTTGTTGCTGGGGGTTAGTGATGTGTTGAAGGGGAGGGCATAGACGAGAGGAGGATGGGTGGATGGATGGATGGGTGGATGGATGGATGGGTGGATGGATGGATGGATGGATGGAAAAGGGGGGATGAGAAGAATAAAAAGACCAAAACAGATGAAAAAAGGAAAAAGACATACATTCTCTTCATTACTCTTCGCCGGCAAAAACCCCGAGAAAAACCGTTCCTCGGTATCAGCCGTCGCAGGCTCGCACGGGTGGTCAAAGGAGCCCTTGACGACCGAGTTGTTGCTAGGTAAAAAGTGAAACTCGAGGATATCGCCCTTGTTGGCGGTGATGATCTCCGGGCCAAAGACGAGCCCGTCCGCTTTGATGACAATGGTTTCGGCTGTTACTACCCGCCCAAAAAGGGTGTTAGCGAGCATGGAGAGGAGCCATGTCGCGATGTGACTGTGAAGAGATAACATGAGTAATTGAGTTGGGAACTAGATGAGCTGGTGGGAACTGGGTGAAATGTCTCGCTGAGTGACTGGGGGTGAACGAGTGTCTGGGGTTCAGTTAAATACAGAACTGGAACCAGGAGAGACTGGTGAGGGAAGCGAGAGACCTGGAGGGAAAAGGTCCGGTGAAGGGGCGAGCCGGACCTTAAACTACCCAGTGTCATATACTGAAGAGTGATGCTGGTTTGTCCTACTACGACCTCCTTCAACGGCCTTGCTCCTCCGTTCTTTCGTCTCGAGCCAAGCTGGCTTCGTTGGCCCTGCAGCGAGCGTGAGTGACGGTGGCACCGCTGACCGTTTGTATCATATATGAGGTGACATGAACAACCAACGCCGACATCATAATGGTCTCTTGTTCTCTGTTTGGGAACACCTAATCACATGGACTCGTTACGCAGGACTGCCGAGACGTCCCACTGTGGCCAATGGTGTGACTTTAACGCTGGTAAAAGTCTTGCACAAGGAGGCAACCGAGTCCGCGAGTTCATGATTGTTCCCGTCTCTTGGTTGTGCCAGCTTTGGTGTACAATGGACGGGTAGGAGATCTAGGTGGATATCGTGGGAGATGAACTGAGAAGCGGTGGTAGGAAGGAACATGATTTTGGAATTGTGAAGAAACCTCTGTTTACCAGATATTAGCATTGAACGTGAAGACAATAACAGCCGTTTGTCAAGTATAGCTTATTTTTGGGTCTTTACCTGCCCACAGGTGTTTCCAGGCTTAAAGTGCTGGTGATATCCGAGGGTTGCCTCCGTCTTGTACCTGCAGTGTCATTGTCTGAACAAAGGACCAAACCCCATCGTTCGTTCCTGAAACAGTTTCATCCAGGTATCACGGCATGAACGATTCACAGGTGTTTGCTTGGACAGCATGCTCGACCCTGGCGAGTGAGTGATGTCGCACCCAACACAGCGTACAAGGCAAATTTGCGCTTGTGTTTTTGTGTCTCCAAACGGGCCGTCCGTCCACTTTGAGTTGTCGAGTCTTCTTTCGGCGTAATGGTGCCACAATGAACGACCGTTCGTACTGGCGAGATGTGTGCCTGTTCGCCGTCTCGTCCTGCATGCCAGGTATTAGGGGCAGACAGCCACCATGGCCATCACCACTAAGCTGCCTAGAGGCACAGCCTTTCCCAAGTTTATGCTTAAGTTATTTGAGTATTTAACAGGGAAACCGAGCTCTGATAGGTATCGGTCGATGTCCCAGGCTCGGACTGAGGAGATATCCAGGGAGCCATGCTATGGACTCGGAAATCGGGAGTGGGCTTGTAGGCGGGATGGTGAGGTGCGTTTGGCGATGGCTTCGGGTCTGTTTCGGTGTCAGGTGTGGCACATGAGAATGTAGTAGCTAGGAATATCAAAGCGGTGGGTTACCAAGCAGGCCGAACGGAATCGCGTTGGTTGTCTTTTTCGATCTCGAGGCGAAGGCTGGGGACACGAAGCCGAGTAGCAGTGGGATGTCCATTCGAGGCATCAAATGCTTATTGAACGTCGGTAGATCGATTCGTTTGATTGTGACTGCCATTGGTATGATGGCGGAGAAATGATGGTGCCTCTCCATGGTGCGGCAGCTGTTGTCTCCATCACCAGGAGCAAAATACCAACAATAATCCGGAAAGTTGTTACGGTTGGGGACGTGTCGGCAACCAGTTACAGCACTATCAGTATACCCGCTGAATTAGCAGGTTATGAAATAGTGCACCATCTAAGTACCAATTGTTGATATTCCCCCTCTACTACCGAGTTCCTTGATGACGCATCTCCTGCAAACAAATGACCCCTCTTGACCTCAACACCGAAAACTTTCACCACTCTGCCAATTCCAGACTTTGACCATCCCACCACCGTCGCTGACTGCCGAAAAACACCCTCGGCCAGTCTTTCGCCAGTGTCTGCCAAGACAAGGACATCAGCCGCCCCAACTTTCTCCCTTTCGTCGCATTCTCTGCCGTGTCCGCAATATGCACCCCCGGATTCCCTTCCCGAGCCGGTAGATCAACAACGTCGCCCTGACGAGCTATAAAGTGGCCTCGATGCCTGCCCCGCTGGCTAAACATCGCCGTCCGATTTACAAAGGATGGATCCGCCAACTGGGTGATATAACGAGATGACAGCCGGCCTCGACGAGCAATATACAACACTATCCCACCTCGTACGATCCATCTGTTCCCCGATAAATAATTTCTCTCGACTACTCTTGGCGCGAAATGTTACCATGAAGGACGCGCGGTCTGCCCGGAATCCGGAGCGACGATATGATGGGAAAAGAAGGGAAGTGGCCTCAATGGGACGGCAGGGCTTATATAAGGATGGAAGATTCGGATAATCCCCACGTCAATCTGCTTGTCAGTTCCCCAACTACTGCTCGTTCGCCCAACATGAAGTCCTCGTACCTGTTGGCCAGCCTTGCCTTGGGCACCACCACCCTCGCAAGGCTGATTCCCCGCGCGGAGATCGATAGCGGACAGTGGAAGTGCCGTTGGACTGGTCACTGCCTTGGTATGTCCTGATATCAGGAGCATCTCCAACTTTGCCCACATACTGACAGCCCAACAGGCGACGAGTGCGAGACCAACCGAGACTGTGATGGCGACCTCGTCTGCCGCAACTACGAGTGCGCAAACCCTGGAGGTTCAGTCAAGCCGACCACCACGCGCAAGACCACGTCGACCATCAAGACCACCGCTCGTCCCACACACACCGTACCTCCAGGCTGTGTCTGGCCCGGCCATTGCTTGGGTATGCCGTCCCCATGAACTCCCTTCTCCCACATGCTAACACTCCTTCTTCCAGGTGACCCCTGTAAAACCGAAAACGACTGCGACGCCGATTGGATTTGCCTGGCAGGCAAGTGTGCTTCACCGAGACCGACCATTCCTGTTCCCACCACCACTCGGCCTATCCCTCCCCCAATCACCACGACGAGGACTACGAGTAAACCGACCACCACCACTCGGCCTGTCCCTCCCCCGTTCACCACGACGACGAGGACTACGAGCAAGTTAATCACGGTGCCGGTGCCTACTACCACGAGCGAGCCACCTACGAACCCGGGAAACCCCAGCTGTGGGGATAATCCTCTGGCTTGTATTGGTACGTCGACACTGTTGCGTCTTACCCTGAAGAATAGCTAACCAAGGGTGCTGAACAGGCTCTCCATGCTCGATCGATGCCGACTGCAAGTTTGACTTGATCATTTGCCAGAATGGTGTTTGCGGACTCTGAACGAGAAATCATAATTATCATATGGTCGCTGTAGAAGCGGAAACTTCCTTACGAACCCAAAACACATCTAGCACCTCCTTCCCGCCGACGCGTCCCGTCTATCCTCTGTCACCGTAACTTCATGTGTAACAATAATCCCCTTCTGCTTCCAATTCCTCCCACTTCCCCCCGAGTTCTGTGGTTCAATCAAGTCTGCCCCTCTTTCTACCGACATCGTCCTTCCACGCCCTCCTCCACTGCCCTGTGCTATCACATCTGTTGCAGCGATATCTCTACTGCTCGCGGTTGAGCTCCAACTTCCTCTCACCATCTTCCCATCGTCCGAACTCACGATATTCTCCTCACTTCCCCATAACGTATCGTCTGACAAGGGGTGCTTGCTGGTCTTGCTAATCACGACCCTGTTCCTCGGCCCTCCCTTCTGACTGCTAGGAGTACTGTCCAGTGCATATCCATTGTGTCCCGATACACCATCCTTGCGGATCCCCGACGTCCCTCCGCTCAGCGAGATGATACTCTTCTCCATGAATCTCTTGACCAGCGGATATACCATGGGCATGTTCGTCAACACAAAACTGACAAAGCTCTCCCTCACAGACCAATACCCGCTCTGCGCGGCATCCGTATCTCCCAACGTCAAGATACACACACACCGCAGAATCCCGAATGCCATCTCGATGAACCCGCCCGAGAACATCAACAGCAAAAAGAACTTTTTCCTCCACGTCAAGTTACTCTTCCACACCATCGGCAACGGAATCGCCAGCAGATAGAAATCCGTCACCGTGTTCATCACCATGACAAACACCGTCTGCAACTCGCTCACCGCTGGCGTGCAATTGTTGCCCGGGTTCGGATAAATCTGCCACTGCTTCTCAAACGGCACGCACTTGAATATGGCCACGCACAGACAGGCCATGTAGGTCGCCGGCATGATGACGTACGCCCCAACGACCCACATGCGCATGTTGTGCACGCCCACGGTCAGGCGGGCATAGTAGACCGACCAGCATGCCTTGAGTAGCCAGAGAAGGGTGGTATAGAGGAGCAGTCCCGCCACGTGCGCTTTGGAGCCGAGGATGCGGAGTTGGTATTCTTCGCTTTGCGGGGAGAGGAGGGCGCGATCAATGTCGGTGATGCCGTTGTTGGCTAGGCCATGAAAGGTTGTGACGAGGACGTGGGCGACGGTGGTTTCGGCTGTGTAGGTGATCTGGAGGGTGTTAGCTATGTGTTCAAGAGGAGGGAATCAGAAGACGACTCACCAAAGCAGCAAACATCAAAAAGTCATCCAACGCCAGCTTCCGCCATCCCAACTGGCGGATTCTGCTGAAGTATCGGAGGATCACGACAATGTAGGCTGCGCCTTGTAAGCCCCACGCTTCGCGGACGAACCGGGCTGCTTCGGCTTGTACATGTTCATCGGATGTCCTAGGGACAAGGTACATGGTTGCGGCTGTGTGTAGAAGAGCTAAGGGTCTGTGTGGAGGATAGAGTGCAAGAGAGTGACAGGAACACTGCCTCAGCAACGACACATCAAAGGATTTGGTAAGGTAGTCGTCGGCCCACAAAGAGGGATGGAAAGAAAAGTCCAACAACCTCTAAAGGAATAACTGATTCAACAAACAGACTGAAAGAAAAGAATGGAAACGAACAAGCATGCTCTTGTTGATGTCTTGCAAAGAAACAAGAGAAGACACTCGACATCTTGACCTGCCGACCGACTGGACCCTTCTCCCTATGTATAACTATGCGAAAAGAAAAAGAAACGAAGGCTCAGACATAGATCTCTTCTACATGCGTCTCATCTCCTTTCTGAGCTTCATCTGGGTACCAGTCCCTGAGACCCTGCCTCAATTCCTCCGGGTAGCAAGTTGTCCCGGCCGGGCTGCGGAGTAAGTTGCCACTTCAGCTAATGTTACGAAGCTGAGTTTCGCGGAGGATGTTGGATTTGGGGTTTAAAGAAGAAATAGCGAGTGGCCATGGCTTCGGGATCCTGGTTGCCCCATACCTCTAGTCTACTTGGGCGCGGTGATTCTTCTCCGCCAATCACTTGTTGGTAACAGGATATTTCCCCTGAGCTGAACCCCGAGATTTGAAGGAATGTACGAAACCATCGCTTCTTTTTGTAGGTAAGTCTCCTTCCCTGCAGCCTGCTATGCTTCTCCCAGGATTGGTTACAACCCGGGGCCCCGTAGTGGGACCTGCCGTGGATTTGGGGATTTCAGCATTCAGCGTGGTTGGCTGTACATTCAAAACATCCGAGGCAAGTGATAGGTGCCTTTTATCACAGTTGCAGTTCATGTCTCGGAGCCGATCTTGCTACACTGCCTGCTCATACACATTGACTGCTTACCTAGTGGATAAGCAATCTCGACTGATGCAACATGGCCCTTTGTTCGAGATTGAGGAGTAAAGGTAGGTAGTCTACACGACTGGCGGCAGGAATCTAGAACATTACCTAGAGAGTTTGAATAAAACAGCAAGACATCATCTCTCTAGAAATCCATGTCAGCCCTCCCGGCAGCCAAGCGCCGTTCGAGCCAACAAGGGCGCCCTGTCCGGCTGTCAGCGGGGCACCGGGGTCCAGGAGCCGAGCGGCTGACTGGTCGGTTAGATGTCGATCTTTCTCTTCAACCTTAAACTGCATCTGACACAGTGGGGACTGGGGAAGACACTGGGGCACTGAGGCAAACTGATTGGGGAAATATTGGGCTCCTCCATCTGGGGATGGATGACCACACTGTTTGGAAAACAAATTGGGAGAACTAGAGAAGTAAGAAACGAACAGTCCATCTCCGAGCTGCATGGTGTTCGACCCCAGGAGATAACGGAGAAAACTGTGCAAAGACATACGCTTTGCTGAAGCGATTGGAGAGAGAAAGAAGAGGCGAAGACCTGGTTTTAAACGAACTAAGAATGGGATTATGATGTTTTTCAACGAATTGCTTCATTCTTCTAGCCTGTGGGTATGTCTAAAAGTCATTTGTTGAAAAAACAAAGAAGTGGCGGACGCTGAAAAGGGGAGACTTAGACATAAACGAGGGGGACATCATGATAAACCGCGAATTTCAACGGCTAAAATCTGGAACAGAACATGAACAGAACGGAAGAACTTGACAATCGAACGTTGTTCAGCAGCATACCGCTCTCCTCAGGGTCCGGGTCCGAGACACCAAGACCCTTTCTTTGTGCTCCGAGGATATATCAGCACTAAGGGGGGAAAAGATGTACAATGGCGCAGGTGGCTGAATTAACGGTGAACCGACAGCCGGTCGGGGTCTTTTTTACGATTCTGCAGCTCTTTGTCTCAGGTTGAGCCACTGGTGTCTTGTATCGTTATCTGGCGTTTGCAACAGTGCAAAAAAGTTTGTTTATTGGAATGCCATGACTGTGGTTTCTGTTTGGACGTTGAGATGCCGCGTTTGATTTCGTAGAATACCTAGGATGGTCCAATGCAAGATACAATTTGATCTCAGTCTCGACATTAGCAAAAAAAAAAAACACTTTTTTTCTTCTCCGGCGGAAGAGCGAGATGAGATTAAGATTGAAGACAGGAGCCTAGAATCTTTTAAAGTTGAACGAGATATCGTCTGTGCGGCGGCTATCATGGTTCAGGGCAGGAGGTCAGGGACGGATGGGTGGGCAAAGGCGAGTCCAGGCACACGGAGTTTTGTTCCGTCTTCTCTTTTCTTTTTCTTTCATCTTTTTCATTGGGTTTCCCCTCCACTTCTCCCCCCCTGATGGTTCCTGACCTGTCATCCAAATACATAACCACCACACAGCCCATGTCCCGCTACCTTACCATTCAACAGCCTTGACATGTCTTATGCCGGCCACTAATGCACTAGTGGACGCCTCTGCTTGACCTGAATGGATCGGTTACACAAAAGGATTCGCTTCCCCTTGTCGAGTCCCTCCTCCCCGGTCAACGGTTTTGGGACGACAGCCAACGACGAAAACTTTGAGGATCAAATCACGCTAAAAACAACCGAGGAAGAAGCCAACAAGCCATGCCCTGTGCTATGCAGTAACGTTAGATCCAATCCACTACAAGCTTGCGAAGCCTGTGTAGCTCCCTTCCCGTCACTTTCTCGTTTCCACTTACTCTTTTGGGCAAGGATCCGTATGGGGTAGTATTTGTTCGTATATCTGGGGAAGTGGAGGGTTCGTAAGGCATGCACTGAATCATGTGAGAACGACAGCTGTTGACAGCGAGAATGGTAAAGATTGCAGAAAGATATCTTGGAGAAAGCAAAAAGAGCGGTCTGATTGTGGCCAAGTTTCGAGACAATATAGATGAAGGAAGCCATTTTGATGAAGCTAGAGAGAGAAAAAGAAAAGAACGATTCGGCCCCATTTTCTAGAATCAACGGTAAGTGGCTGCTGGTCGCACAGAGAGTACAGTGCAGCCGGGACATTGAGCCCGGGTGGTGGTCACAAAATGCTACCATAACGGCTTGCCGCCCGCCAATCGGTATAAACATGGTTGTGTCAGGGTACGACTGTCCCTGAGGCAGTAAACAACGGTGCTGTTGAATCGTACCATGATGATAACAGAACTGACAGTCGGTACAGTGAGGGAGGACAGTGCCAGCTTGCCCATTACGTTTCCTCTATGTGCTAGTCATCATCATCACTGTCCGTCACAATGCTCGCGGCATGGGGGGAAAATTGACCCGAAGAACAGGCAGCCCAGGCAGGGAAGGGACGGTGAATTCAACCCTCCTCCAGGCTTCACCCTGACGGTCGTCATATTCTGGCTTCCTGCGAGTGTCCATTCAATGATGGTGGTGCGTCTCAGTTACCCGTTTCGGTTTGGCCCGAGGCGAAGAGTTGCCCAAGTTCAGGAGAAGGAAGCATTCCCAGGAATCGAAGCGGGCCGACTATCACAGCTGCACATGGTTATCAGCATCTGGGGTTGCCTTGTTAGTCTCGAATCTGCTGATGGCTCCCCTATTTGGTGTTTCTCCTGATATGGAGATACCGGATGGATGGATGGATGGTGGACATTACCGACCTTCTGGAAACCGGATCACCGGCATATGATGATGCTCAAGTGACGAGGAGGAAGATAACTTAAAAGAGCTCTGTCACTTACCTTTTTTCTACGTAGCCGAATCCTACCTTCCATCTTTCCAAGCTCTCTTCTACTCTCTATCATAGTACCATCATTGTTAATCCTAATAACTAACCCAGTAACCATGTCTGCAGCAACTACCAACGGCCGTGCCAATGGCATCAACGGTATCAACGGTACCAACGGCATCAACGGTACCAACGGCATTAACGGTACCAACGGCATCAACGGTACCAACGGAACCAACGGCACCAACGGCGTCAAGCCCAAGGAGTCCAAGGTTGATGTGTAAGACCACTACCACCCCCCGAGCACAGTTCAACAGACTAACACATACCAGACTCATTGTCGGTGCCGGCCCAGCAGGCCTCATGGCCGCCGCCTGGATGGCTCACTGCGGCATCAGCGCGCGCATCGTCGAGAAACGCAACACCAAGATCTTTACCGGCCAGGCCGACGGCCTCAACTCCCGGACCATCGAGATCTTTGACAGCTTGGGCTTCTCTGACCGCGTGTGGAAGGAATCCAACCACATGCAGGAGATTTGCATGTGGAATCCCAACGCCGAGGGCGTCATCCATCGCTCGGACCGCATCCCCGACACCGTCGTCGGCATCTCGCGCTACCAGCAGTGCGTGCTCAACCAGAGCCGCATCGAGCGCTGGTTCATTGACAACATCAAAAAGTACTCCTCAAAAAACAACAACGCCATCTCGGTGGAGCGCGGCATCCTGCCCGAGTCGCTCGTGATTGACGAGTCCAAGGTCGAGGATGACGACGCCTACCCCGTCACCGTCGCCCTCCGCACCTTGACAGAGGAGGAAACCACGCCCGTGCAAGCCGCCACCGCCTCCAAGTCTGCGGCGTCTGACGGTCTCTTCCGCAGCAACCTGGTGCAAGATGACGACGAAGCCGATCTCCTCCGCAAGTCCCAGTCCCGGCCCGGCACCAAAGAGATCGTCCACGCCAAGTACGTCATCGGATGCGACGGCGCCCGCTCGTGGACACGCCGTGCGCTGGGCCTGGAGCTGGAAGGCGAGGCAACCGATTACATCTGGGGCGTCATGGATATCATCCCCATCACCGATTTCCCCGACATCCGCCACCGATGCGCCGTGCACTCGGCTGAGAACGGCTCGCTGATGGTCATCCCGCGCGAGAACCGCATAGTGCGGCTGTACATCCAGCTGAAAGAAGTCGTTCCGGACGCCTCGGGGCGCGCCGACCGGTCCAAGATCACGCCCGACTTGATCTTCCGCGCCGCGCAAAAGATTCTCGCACCGTACAAGCTCGACTACGAGTACTGCGACTGGTGGACGGCGTACCAGATCGGCCAGCGCGTCGGCAACAGCTATGACGTGCACAACCGCGTGTTCCTGGCGGGCGATGCCGTGCACACGCACTCGCCCAAGGCCGGGCAGGGCATGAACGTCTCGATGCAGGACACCTTCAACCTGGGTTGGAAGGTGGCCCTCGTCCTCAAGGGCATCTGCAAGCGCGAGATCCTGGCCACGTACCAGAGCGAGCGCCGCCGCATTGCCCAGGACCTGATCGAGTTCGACCACAAGTTCTCTCGCTTGTTCTCTGGCCGCCCGGCCAAGGACTTGATGGACGCCGAGGGCATCGACATGGAGGAGTTCAAGCGCGCCTTTATGCGCGGCAACTTGTTTGCTTCGGGCATGCAAGTCGACTATGGGCCGAGCAATCTCGTCGTCAAGTCGGGCAACTGGCGCGAGCTAGGCGATCGCAGCGAAAAGAGCGCGAAGCTGCTCGCCAAAGCCAAGATCAGCGACGACAAGTTTGCAAAGAAGCAGGCTCTGGCCACGGGAATACCCGTCGGTAAGCGTCTGGCCTCCTTCAAGGTCGTCAGCCAGGCGGACGCCAGGCCGTGGCACTTACAGGAGCGGTTGAAATCCGATGGCAGGTTCCGCATCGTGCTGTTCGCTGGTAAGATTCTCTCGTCGCAGCAGAAGGCGCGGGTGGACAGGTTCTGCGCCAAGCTGGACGCGCCCGAGAGCTTCCTGCGGAGGATCACGCCCGCGGACAAGGCTATTGACAGTGTCATTGATGTCCTCACGATCCATGCCAGCCCGAGAAAGGACACGGAGTTGTTGAGAGACTTTCCGGATATTTTGCATCCGTTTGATCAGCATCTGGGTTGGGATTACACTAAGGTGTATGCGGACGATGTCAGTTACCACGAAGGGTTCGGCAATGCTTACAAGAATTACGGCGTGGATAAGGAGAAGGGATGTGTGGTCGTGCTGAGGCCAGATCACTATGTCGCCTGGGTGGGTGATATTGACGATTTTGAGGATATGGAGAGCTACTTTGAGGGATGCATGAGGTTACCTGCTGTAAGTGCTGCGCAGGATGTTGGCATTGTCGTGGAGACGGTCAGCAGCGTGACTAACAAGGCGGTTGGTCAGGTCAGGGTGTCTGTGAGCCCGGTGTCCGAGTAGGAGGTTATGGGAGGTTGAGAAGGGCGATGTGATAAGCGCGAGAATACCCTATACCATTTAGATCAATTAGCTTATTCCAGTGGCATTAGACAGAAATCCAAAGTCAACATTGACGGATGAACTTTGAGATCAGTGTTCCCTGGCCAATTGGGCAGCATTTGCCCCGGCCGTGACCCAATACTCGAATGACAATACGAGCAGCAGGTCCCTAACCAGGATGAAGCTTCAAAGAGTTGAGACGAGACAAGGCGAGAACTCTCGGACCTCCATGGCTCGTCAAGATGACATAGCTTGATGATGGCCAGGTACTTGTTGTGCGAGGGGCACCTGTTAGACAGTCCGTTACATAGACCAACACATATTTCGAAAGACCTGTTTTGCCGTGGGCTGCCGTGCCTGTATCGTCGATTGCAATTGGTGTTTTGTCCCTTCTTTCCACACATTGCGCAACATGGGGGACAACTATACAACAGGCGTGGAACCGGAAGAAGCGAGACGCTTCGTCATAGAATGCTGGTCCCTCCAAGGTGTAGCCTACGTGGTGATTGGGCTTCGATATTTCAGCAGGATCCGGCAAGTAGGATGGCGCAAGCTCGCGCTAGACGACGGTTTTATGCTGTTGGCTTTGGTGAGTTCTCTTGGCTTCAGGTTGTTACCCGCGACATGAAGCTTACTTTCCCGGCATCCAGTTTGCCTACACGGCCGAGAGCTTTATGCCTTACATTTTCGTTTCCTGGTGCCGTGGGTTAGCAAACAACGGCATGACAGACGAGCAACGAGCAACGCTTAGCCGAGATTCCGACGAGTACAAAATGCGAGTTAACGGAGCCAAGCTGAACGTCTCCGGCCTTCTCTTGTATACCACCCTTCTTTGGCTGCTTAAAGGTTGTTGGACAGTGTATTACACACGCCTAACGTGAGTGTTAGCCTGGGAACGCAAGAGGAGGTTTATACTGACCCGCTAGATATCAAACAGAGCTGGCATTTGCTTTATGCGTCGCTGGATGATTGGCGCCTACATCATCATGCCCCTGACTTACATCGCCTGTGTATGTGTCGCCCTCCTCCAATGTGTCCCCCTTCACCGGCAGTGGCAGATCTACCCCGACCCGGGCAACCACTGCCAACCGGCAATATCAGTTCTGCAGACGGTTTTCGTCATGGTCATGAACACCGCCACGGACTTTTATCTTCTCGGTATTCCCGTGCCTATGCTCTGGGAGTCGAATCTGCCCTGGTCGCAGAAATTGGTGCTATTCATCATGTTCAGTGGCGGATTCCTCGAAATGACATTTGGGATCATGCGGTGTGTTAGTATCTTGACTGTGAGTTGGGTCCCTGGGAAATCCATCTTCCAGAGACAGCAAACTGACTTACCTCAAGAAGGGAAACAGGGACCCCGCGCAAACAGGCTACTGGTCCGTCCGCGAATCTTTTGTCTCCTTTGTTCTGACCAACATGCCCATGGTCTACCCGCTGATCAGGCGGTCGGTATTTCGCGCCGTCTACTCCCTCGGCGGCTGGATTCGCCCAGGAAGCGGGACAAACACCACCACCGACAAAAACGACAACAGTATCAGATCAAACGGGGTCATGCTCACCCGATATAGATCTCCGTATCCCATAGACAGCCCAATTTTCCCACCAACCCACCAAAGTTCATCACACAGATGGGGTCCCAATCCCGATCCGATCTTCCCGATACCCGGCAGCGAGACCTTTTGGGTAAGCACGACAGATGAGGAGGGTACTACCGGCACCGGCACCGGACCACCAGGTAGCGGAGAGGACATCTCTAGAAATGATACGATCCCGACGGCGGCAAATCGGAGTGGTGGGACGGTGAGCTTTAGGTCGACCTGCGAAAGTCCTAACCGGAGTAGAAACGGCTGTGAACGGCCCAACTTGACGATACAGACAGCAGCTTCGCCATACCTTGGGGTGGTCACGTCGGTGGAGAGTTCGGGCATGATTGCGGAGCAGCCCCATCATGGTTGGTGCTCGGGTGAGAGTAGTAGTTACAGTGTAAGCAACGGCACGCCGGGAAGTGTTATGGCGATTGTGGTCACGAGAGAGGTCAGTATTGTGAGGGAGGAGGGGGTGGTTTCACCTAGGCAGATTACCCCTGGGTTACCACCGACCCCTGGGTTACCACCGACCCCTGGGTTACCACCGCCGGCTGAGCTAATGGAATGGAGGGGGTCCACACAAGCCATTGATCATTGTTGAAACGAGAATAGATGGATTGAATTGCATGTGCGTTGCTTGTGCTGGGTTTAGGTACGGTGATTGAGATGTGAACGCTGAACATACCTGGACCGAAGATGCCTTGCTTGTTGTTCGGTTCCCAAGCTATCTGGACACATGAACAGCGCCCGGTGGTTGGAAGACTGTCCACGAATGCCCATTATCTTCTTCGACCAACCGGAAAGTAGGCCGTCTTCCGCTGTTCTTCTCGAACACCGAACAAGGCCTATTGTCCTCCAGCCTTACCCGGAGGCTACCTGGGAGACGAATAGGATGCTTCCCCGACAGTGTTCTCGAAGCCGGGTACGAGTTCCATTGTTCCGGACGGCTGTAGCCGATAGGAGCCTTTGTGCCGTTGTTCACTCGTGGGTTTCGGCGGAGGGCAATCGAGAGCCTATAGATTTGGGAGTCGTCGATGGCCTTCTTTGTCCGGCTGTCATGTAAGTGATATCTGATATTGGGAAAGGGGGCATGTCGACGAGTGTCGAAAAGGTATAAGTATCGGTGTTGGGATCATCCAAGATTGTTCGATTCCTGTCATCAACATCAGCAGAAACACCAGTAGCAAACACCTGCCAGGAACAACAAGACTTGAAGTCCAAGTAAGCTTCTACCAGCAACAGCTCAAGCCACCACATCCGCTTCCACCAACCCACCAACCGTTCGGGTACATCTCCCGAACCACCAACCGTACGTATCACCATGTGTTTCACCACCACTTCCACCATGTGCGCCAAGCGCACCTTCTCCTCCATCTCGGACGAAGAGGCTACTTGTCAGGCAGCTCCCAAGCGCATCTGCCTTCCCACCCACAAAGCCACCCAAGTCGGTCCTCTGAACCTCAACTCCCCACCCAAGTTTGCACCCATGCGCCCCCTTCCCTCCATCTGGCCATGGAACTTGGACACTGACCTCGACGCAGACGCACCCCTCCCGCCTCCGCTCTCCATCGCGTCCCGCATCCCGGCCTTCCACACCCACGGCTCTTCCCACTGCGGCAACCATGCTGACGAGCACTCGTTCCCGTCAGGCAAGGAGACCAACAAGAACAAAAGAGTAGGTACACTCTGCTCCTTCTGCTTTGGTCCCTACAAGCAGGGTGACCTCCACCAACTTCCCTGCGGACACTTTACTTGCTTGTCGTGTCTCGAGGAGAGGGTGAGACAGATCCCGACGTTTATGGTTGCTAACGCTGGGCTGATTAACCAGACCATCGCCAAGATGCGCGAGATCATGAATTATCTCGGCACCATGACTCAGACTGATGGTCTGGCTTCGACTGTCAGGCAGTACTGGGTCGATGAATTTGGCGTCCTTCGCCAGGAGCTGGCGATCTTGACCAATATGTCATGCTCCTATTGTCAGGTGCATATCCGGCCGTCCCGGTTTATGACTTGTTTGTCGCCGGAGATGTCCAAGATCCTGTGGTTGACGGAGGAGTGGCTGGCCGATGCGCAGCCGGAGAATAGGAGGGCGTGTGGATGGCCGGATTGTAGGGCGTATGTGCCCAGTTGGTGTCACTACCTCTTTATTGGGAAGAAGGAGGTAAGTAAGGCGGTCGATGCGGAGGGGAGGAGGTGGTGGTGTCCGAGTTGCAAGGGCAATTGCTTCGAGACGGAGGAGGGGTTGAACCCGGGTAGGTAGATTGTCAAGGAGGGTTTGGGGTGTAAGTATTCGAGGAGGATAATCGAGGGTTCGTTTGCTTGAGAATGGCGGCGTTGGAGGTTGGCTTTGTCAGACATTTTGAACATTTCCTAGAGGACGTCGTAAATGTTAGTTGGATTCTGCAGATAATGAAAGAAAAAGTGGAAGATAAAAAAATGTGCAAACAGGTTTGATGTGATCAATGTACATGAATTTCAAACAAGGTCAGCGTGGTGTGACCAAGATGTGATTGTATCTGTGACGCTAGAAAACAAGGGCCGATTCTGCTAGTGATATAACAATTGTTATTCAAACGACGCGGGCATCGTGTTCCCCGCTTTGGATCTCTCTCAGAAGACGTCGAGGGGTGGCCCAATCTACGGCTCGTCGGCGGCAGGATAGCTATTGGAGCTTGAGCGTTCGAGGACGGAGTGGCTGTCGCGCTAAAGGGAGTGTGTAGGAGTCGACGTTTCCTTTGTTCGCGAATGGAGGCGTTGGAGTTTGCTTGGTACGATTGCATGAAGATTTTCTGGAGTTGTTCGCCTGGTTAGTTGGACAATGCAGAAAATCGAAGAATTATGCAAACGTGTTTGCTGTTGGTGTGAATGACAAAGGCCATCGGCGTTATTGATGCTGATGTGATCAAGATGTGATTGTATCTAGATTGGTGTAAACGGGGCGCTGTTTCTGTTAGCGACATAACGCAGTTCTTGGGTTTTGTCAAGTTGTGTCCCTCTCCGAGCGGAAGTGCAATCGGGTGATGATGAAGGGCCGCTCCAAATCCGAATGGAGCCCGTATGTCCAGCACAATTCGAAAAGACCGGTTGGCAAAGTGGAAGGCGGAATGTCCTGCGAAAGGAACTGGAAAGCAAACAGAACGAAACCGAAGCAGAACAAAGGGCACTGAAAAACACGGCCCGAGCGCCATCTCGGGCGTCTCACATCATGCGGGCTTCGTTGTCTCGTTCCTTCCTTCAACGTCTTGTCAATTCGGCTCAATTCCTTTTCCTTTCCCTTGAATGCATGCAAAGGAAATAGACGGACAAAAAAACAAGTGAATTCAATTTCATCCAATGCCTGCTTTCTACTAATCATCCTCCATCACCAGTTTACCACCCCTCAGTCAAACACATCAGTGGCATACCTCTCATTCCTAATCCCCTCAAACCACTTCAACGCCCTCTCCTCACTGACCTCGACATCCTCCACCGTCAATCCCTTCAGCTTCAACCCCTCCAATATCCCCTCGGGCAAAGCGTCCAGCTCGCCCTTCTCCCTCGCCTCCACAATCATCTTCTGCCTCTCCAACGCAATTCTGACCACCAC